AATGCCCCTCAGATTTTTGCGATGGACAGGCTTGTCGCTTACCACCAAGCGTACACTTATTCGTCCCGTCGTTTGATATTATTATCATAAAAAAAATATTCTTATTTCTGTACAACGAATTTTATTTTTTGTTATTATATATTACTAACAGTTATCCAACGTTAAAATCAACGTTTCAGTGAAATATTAGCCAAGTCTCTTCACAAAACGTGAAGAATGACAATTGAGTTTGAATAATTTCGTGTATGGGATCTTTTTATGGGGAGCAGATTCTGAATGACGCGACTTAGAGTTTAATTTTAGCAATTTGGGGCAACGAACTCGCCAATAGCGTGCTTTGCATATTATTTACGTCTCTCCTTTGCAAATACATAGTGTGCTAATATTTAGTACCTCCATTATGTTTTTAAGCTAAATGCTCTCTCCATAATTGCTTTTTATGTACCGTTTACATACATTTTAATTAAGTAATTATTAACTTTTTTTATTTGTTTATATTGCAATTTTTTTTGGAAATAATAAAGTTCCGAAAACAAATGAAAAATGCAACGAACTGGATATTACTAATTAAAATCATAATAGCGTTAAAATGTGTTACTGAAAAGTAAACAGAATATACGGACAAACCTATATTTTAATTATATTTAGCAAACAATCAATAACTTGCACAAATCAGAATTCTACTAAAAACAACTGTATTTCCGAATGTTACACTAAACTTTCGAAAGAAATACTATGATGGTATTGACGATGACTTGACGTCCTATGTTATCATCCATAATAGTATTCCTGTATGATGGAATAGTTAAAAAAATACCAAAGGTTATGCAATTTATAAGGTTGATTTTAAATTTATAATAGGTGATAATCCAAAAAAATGGCTACCAATAGTTTTCTGTAAAATTTGAATGAAGGTGGTAGAGAAGTATTATACAATAGCAAGATTTTTCCGAACTTTCGGTACTACATATATTTATTTGCCCAAAAGTTTTCGGTAGCTTAAAATATATAAATAAAGTAAATAACGCTAATATTCATAATATGAATGCTTTTGCTACCTCCCTTTTCATATAATAACAAATGATGCTATTAACAAGACGCACGCCGGGTGGTGAAGCATTCAGATTTGTTTATGATCGTCATGCATTAAGATACTCGAGCACATGAAGCACGCCACTGTAGCGTATGGGCATTTGCTAAAAAGCAAGGGACCTAAATGGAACCCTTGCGGTGCACCTGCTGAGACATGAGACATAAATGGAACCCTTGAGGTACACCTGTTGAGATAGATCCAAATCCGATTAAGAAGTTGCAAAACCTTAATGCCTGCAAGCGAGTCCGAGTGTGACACCAGAATGATATTTGTAAATCATCACGCCCACCATTGAAATTTCTAAAATAACAACACCAATTACCTGGTCTCAAACTAAGGAATTCGCTGTTGTACTGTGAGCACCAGAGCAATAGAATTTACTCCGGGCTATCACTCAAAACTGTAACCCAGTTTTAGAATACTGAAATTGTTTAATGATATTTCAGCCATGCATGGTTACAGTAAGTTCCAATAAATAGAACACGTTAACCAATTTTAACTGTTTTTTAAAAGAGAATTTTGTGCTCTATCTTTTGCTGTTTAAAACGGATATTTGACCATTTGTCACATAGCCGCATTTTAGTTAGCGGACGGCAGATAACTGATCATGAACGATTGACTCGAACACCTTACCAAAAACGGACAACATCGAAACGGGTCTATAAATCTCTACGTTCCATCTTGAGCCGCTTTAATAAACCGGAGTTACTAAAGCCTTCCAATTCGTGTGATAAATGTGTTCTCTCATGGACCATCGAAAAATAACTCATTAGAAAAGCCGTGCATTGTAAACACGTGCAATGGAAATAATATTATTATATTTATGTTATTATAAGTTCTAGAACTTGGGAGTGTAAATGTGATAGACGGGCAGAGTTACAATTGCAAATACTTATGTATATTTTTACATTAGGTATAATTAGTTTTTATAATACAATTTATCGCTTATTTGTCACACATTCAAAGTTCGCAAGTAATCTTCTCAGTATATATACATGTATCTCATTGGTTACCATCACACAAACATACCCTACACAAACATATTCAACACAAACGTACCCCACACAAACACACCTCACACACGTGCACCCTCCACACACGTAGCCGATTTTATTCAATTGTACAATACTTTTTTTACCATCATTATTGGACAGTGTTTAAATATAAATTTCACTCTATTCGTGTATTTTAACAATTGTAATTCAAGTGACAATGCACTGTTGTTAACTCCAAAATAAAGTTTCATTTTGGTAATTACAACTTTTTTATAAACGACTTCCAAAGTTTGTGGAATTACATCAATTTGCCAACATTTATTGAAATCGATTAACGAAAAGTGGGTGAAATCCAATTAACCAGATTCATTCCCTAATTTGCAATGGTGGAATATTTTCGTCAAATTTGAGAACTACCATTACCATACCACAAAGGTATCCCCTTTCCAACAAAAAAGAATCTTCGAAATCGATTTACAAATGTCGGATTAATCGCGTAACACACAGACACAAAAAACAGCCGAATTGAGAACCTCATTTTTTGAAGTCGGTTAAAAATAAATAAGTAATTATTCAATATAATATATAAAAACAATATGATACTTTTAACTACGTCCTTAAACTACCTACTAATCAAATAAATATTTGTACAATTTATTAGCAAATCCTTGTACTCCTTCATCATTATGTACTTCTTCGTCCAGTACAAGGTGCCACGCAGGTCTTGTAGCGGGAAACGGTACATTCCACCAGTCAACAATATTGCGCCATATGCTAATTGAATTCATTCGTGAATGATTATTAAATATTTCACATAATGCGCAGACTTCTCTTTTATATCGATCTTCATATGCAACATGGAAGCTATAGTATCCGTGCCATTTAAAGAATTCATAATATTTTTCCGTATCATTTATAATTCCATTCATTTTCTTCGCTAGCCGTTCTGGTCCTAATTTATTGGCGTCCAAGTATATTCCTTTTGGCATGAATCTGGAAGTATATTAATCATTTATCTAAATATTACTTTAATATTACTACACAAAGATGGTAAAGTCGGTATACTGAACAGAACGCAACTAGGTGACAAAATAAAATTTTGAGATATCATTCAAAACCATAACCCAGTTTTAGAATATTGAAATTGTTTAATGATATTTCAGCTATGCATCGTTAGGGTCAGATCCGATAAGTCGAACACTTTTAACTAATTTTAACTGTTAAAAGAGAATTTTTTGCTTTATTTTTTTCTAATTGAAACGGATATTTAACAATTTGTCACTAAGCCGCGTTTTAGTTAGTGGACGCAATAATATACTCGAATACTTAAGTAATAAAAATTGCCACCGAAATTAGGTAGAGAAACTAACCTGAAAATTACCCACCTACGCTCGTTTGTCGTTATTTTTTCGACTCTGAATCATATTATTATAGAGTTCAATACAAATTATTCAAAAAGGGAACGTGCTATCGTCTTTCATAACGTATCACAATTTTATATCCCTCACAAAACAAAAATACAAGTACGTAAAAATAATTTTTTTTATGATATCAAGTGACGGGACGGACCCAACAAGTCATGAGTCTGGTGGTAAGCAACACGCCAATCCAAAACAATTCCAGTTCCATTCAAAACTTAAATTGCAGTGGTCTGAGGAGTATTGTCACTGCGCCCGTCACCATGACACATAAAGCTTTTCAGTAGAGCGCCTTTTAGTAGTAAGTACTTCAGGAAGTGCTGCCACCTTACCTATTTCTGCTGCCAAGCAGTAATGTGAGCATTACTACGTTCCGGCAACGTCAACCTATGTCACAGGGTGACGGGCGCAGGGGCAGTGCCTCTCAGATCTTTGCGATTTAAAGCTCTGAGTGGCACTGCAACTGATATGGATAGGCACACGCCTATAAGCGACACCGCTTACCACCATAGACATACTTACCACCAAGCGCACGACTTGGTATTATAAAAAAAAGTTGACAAGTCCCATGTGCCTGTAATTTCACCAGCACCCTTACCCTTCAAAACCGGTACTCCGTAATGCTTACATTATTGCTTGGCGGTGGAAACAGATACGGTGACAGTACTTCCCTAGACGAACTCTTTCACAAGGAGCTCTACTGCTCCTATCCTCCGATCTCCACTTACTGTCATAATTGTGTTTAAATGTTATACTTGAAAATCATTTGCAAACTACAAATTAACAGTTGTTTGTTACGCAATGCTGCAAAGTTGTTATTTGACGAGAGTGCTTATATTGAAACCTGAGCAAGCGAAGGAAGCTAATGGTCGTATTCTAGAACTCTATCCAATGCTCAACTCAGGATTGCACTGGCAACACAAGCACTAGAAATACGACCCTAATGGCAGGGACTTGAGTATGATTTCGAGTGCTTTACACCATACTCAAATCCTGACTTGAGCATTGAGTAGAGTTCTAGAATACGACCCTTAGATTCAAAAATAAATTCCTGAGCGTAGCGAGGGTTTTCGAGGCACGAGACGCAAAACAACTTTGCTGCCGAGCGAAACACACAACTTTTCATCTCAATAAAGCGAGGAAATAGATGAAAGAAAAACAATTGAACTGTAAAACATGAGTTTTTTAAATTAAAAGAAAAAGTTATTTTCGAATGCGTTCTGAATTTACACCTCATCAATTTTTTATTCTTGCTTGTACTTTTATTTTGTGTGATTAAGTGATTATTGAAAATATTTTAGTCCTTCAACGAATTAAAATAGTTTAATAAACACAATTAGTTATCATTGTCAATTTAATATCAACAATAATAAGAATGAAATATACCAACGGAATTATATTACATAAATAAGTAATGTACGACAAGTCGCTTATTTGAACGTGTCATTATTTTTTTTCTCAGTTTTAATTTCAAAAACCTTTTCAATTATGAAGTTACCTGCTGTAGTTTGCGCCTCCAAGAACAACAGGCACCGCAAAGTGCTCTAAGGCATGCAACAATTTTTCAGAGACATAGTCTGCACAAAACGAATTTTCAAACGCTAAATAAAAGTAATAATCTGACTCTATCCGAGCAAAACATTCTTCCATTTCTTTGTAACGGCCTGGACAATAGAGATCACCGCAAACTCCATACACATCTAAACGATGTCCATATTTGTTTAATTCTTTTTTTAATTCGTAGATGAAGTCCATACGATCAGTTGGTTCACAATTGGACACAAAACATGCTGCAGCAATATGTTTCTTCTGCAGTTTATTTCTAATGTACGTACTTGTTTCATTCATCTGCGATAAATCTAACCAGTGCATATCCATTTTGGGCCCTATTACTTCATTAAATTGGTCTTTTATTATCACGTATGGTAACGGAATATCTGAGTCGAGTTTATAAGTCCAAGTTAAATTAAAATATCCATTATATCGTTCGTGAAGCAAATGAAAAGCAGCTGGTTCCCATGCTGAAAAAACATACTTTTGATATGGCGATCGTTCAGAAGGTAACTCTGTGTCTTCGTCCAACGTCAAGCTATCAAACATTATGATATCGAACGCCAAGATGTCATTGAAGTAGTTTGGATTTTCCGTTATGAAACAATTTCGGAAGGTGCATTGCCTGTTAACAAAAGCATTTTGCTCCCGTTCCACGAATTTAAATGGTTCTATCATTGTTGGATGCCACAAAAGGATATAAATTAGATCACTATTTTTTATATTATTAGCAGTCACTTGGAAAATATTGCATAATATGGATATTGTAGATATGAGATAAACTTTGCGTGCATTCTTCATGCCTTTCCTGCCAACCGGTATGAATTTAATATGCATTTTATGTTGTTTTTTTTTTATTATAAAAAAGTCAATGGAAGGTAACCTCCCTTGCGCGCGCGTAGACAGCTTATGCAAAACATAAGGAATTGTTTTATAGGTATTTTATAGATCTTTGATTACAGCACGTTTAATACTGTTATGATAATGAAATAATTAATACCATATTTGCCTGAGAAAAAATGAACAAACGTAATTTAAAAAATGTTCTCAATAGATTCCATAGGATTTTTTTTATTAAATTGAGTTAAAGGCTCATATTTTTAAACCATGTAACATATATATGCAAAAATCTAAACTTTTCTTGGTTGTACAGAAGTCGATGCAATACAAAAAGGAAGGATTGTAAAACATAATTAATAACAAAGTGTTAGAACTGTCTTTAGTTCGAAATGTAATTTACTATTAGTAAAACTACTAACATAGTTTATAAGGGTTACTTAACTAACAACAATAATAATATTTGTCCAAAATAAAGTAAATTGCTATAATTATCACATGAATACTATAAAAACAATATTTTACTTTATCCGATTTATTGTCGGATTGCGTAAATATGATAATGTCTCCGAATTTCGCGCTCGTTTAAAATGGCTGCCAGTTCGCCTCCGCCTTGATGTACATATCCTGTCCACACTTTTTAATATACTTAATGACCATAACTCATTCTTACCTTCGTTTCCGGTTTAAGCTGCTGCCCCCTCCCATCACTAAAATGCTCATTTGTCCCAGCTGCAATACAAATTTTTTTTCAACTCTTTTTCTTCTCGAGCAGCGCAGTTGTGGAACAGACGCCCTTCTCACATCCAATCTAGTATGTCAATCGCTTCCTTCAAGAAAAAGTTGATAGCGCACTTGCTGAACTCTCTACGTAATCATCTTATATGTGTATTTTATGTATTTGTATATATATATATATTACTTTTTATATATTTTTAAATGTTTATAATACTTATGTAAGTGGTATAATTTATTTATTTTTATTTTTTATTATTTATTTTCTATTTACATGCTAAGTTTATTATTTTTCTCCTTCCTTTTTACTTGCACAATGTTGTCCGCTTATGACCTTTGTTCTCACTGCCTTGGGTTGGCTTGAAGAGATCTCTTTTAGGGATAAGTCCACCTTTGCTCACTTTCTCTATAATTAAGTTTTCTGATGTATTTTTGGTGCAATAAAGAATATAATCATAAAAAGTCACAATTAATACAAGGAAAATACAAACAAAGGGTCCTGCTATACAAGACAATATAACTAATAGAACGGGCATACGTGCACAACAAAACAAAAAAAATGTAATATAAAAACAATAGAATAATGTAAAATTATTATAAATTACTTGAATACTTAGATAAATACATATTTCATAATATAATAAGATATGGATGGAATAGTACGTAGATAAATAATGCTCTTTAACTCTCACTTGAAAAATAGCTAACGATTTATTTACGTAAACAGTATAGGAAGTGCATTCCAAAGCCTGACCGCATGAACAGTGAAGAAGTGAGAAAGCATGGAAAAGATAATAAGAGAGCGACAGGATTTATCCTGGGACCTAAGAAAGCTGAAACGCTTTTTTAGGTACCCGAGAGACAGACGGTTATGTAAAATATTATAAAGAATCTCCGCAAGAAGTTGCATACAATATGCAAATTCCTGTGGAGACGGATGAGAAGCTGACTGCGGAAATGTGAAATTCAGTCATATTTTCCGAAGCCCAAAGATCAAGGTTCATCTACATAGGTTTTGCAATCGTTCACGCTTATTTAGCAGCTCTTCAGTAGCATCCAAATAGCAGGAATCAACATAGTCTATGAAGGGCAAAATAAGAGATTGAACTAAACATATCTTGGTTTTTATAGGTAAAACGTTTTGTAGTGGCACCTTTATCCAAACAAAAATATTTATTTTTATTTTATTATTAAGGAATAACAACAGTCAACTTAAATGTAAGTAGTATCTTAATAACCTAACTTCAGTACAAAGTACTAAAAAAACCGGCCTCAAAAGTCATTCATGCCCTGGTTTACCACCCTTAGAGGTGGAATATTTTCTTCAAATTTAAATGGGACCACTTCTGAGATACCCTCTTTCAAACAAAGAATCGTCAAAATTGGTTCACAAATGGCGGAGTTATCGAGTAACATACATACAAAAAAAAACGTACAGTCGAATTGAGAACCTCCTCCTTTTTTTTGAAGTCGGTTAAAAAGAACAATGTTTGTCTTAGATCAGGTAACCATAATGATGTAAATTATTAGTCTTAATAATAAACAATGCAAAAAAAAATTAGTAATGGGCTACATCATCGTCAACCCATTTATATGTCCCACTGCTGGGCACGGGTTTCCTTTCAGGTGAGGGATTAGGCCACGTTGGCCATTGGCCATTGGGGACCCGAATTGGCGGGTTGGGGACTTCACACGTTTTCCGAGGGTTGTGAACCTTCGACGTGCAGATTTCCTCACTATGTTTTCCTCCACCGAAAAAGTCATGGTAATTTTCAAATTAAATTCGCACACAAATTCCGAAATCGCGAGGTGCGAGCCCGGATTCGAACCCACGGCCTCTGCTTAGATGATAGGTAACCCAAAGGTAAACATTAGGCTTAGAAGATTTAAAATTTTATTAAAATTGATGATGAACTATTTTTCGCGATGTTACAAATATTAATATTATCAAATATTTCCGATATATTTTAGTAATGACGAATAACGATTTTACCTGTTGTAATAATGTTGGAGATCTACTACTTTTGCAAGTAATTAAATGTCATTTAATTTGTTTGAAAATTATTCTCCTAAATCAAACTGCGCTCCGATTGGCCAGCCCGAATTTAAGACAATTGATGGTTGTCGTCAATTGTTTCACTTCAAGTCGACCAGTTTTACTTGAGCTTTGCTATAATGGATGAAAATTGAAAAATTACATAATTTAATATTTAATAACCGATGAAATGTGATTCCGTTTGTTTTGTAATTAAATATTTTGCTATTTTTCCCACGCCACCGAATGGAACAGCCCTTCATTTCTTACAATGAATACAGAATATTTTTGGAATATACGGAGACGTACGCACGGGTCAGTTGTTGGCGCTGTACTATCTCAGCTTTCTAATTTGTGATTTATGTAATGTTCCCTTTTTGTTTTAAATAAAGTAAAACACGAAAATTTTGATTATCCAGTGAACACTACGCCAACATAATTATTGGACCTGTTCTGTTTTTATTTTGTTTTTGTTTCTTTAATCCTATTTTCACAAAATTCATTTTTTTGTTCTTTTTTTCCGAATTTTGTTTTTTGTTTGTTTATTTTTTTTCACAAAATTCGGGGAGCATAATATTAGGATATAAATATGGCTGTTTACAAAAATAACAGAAAATGATCAAAAAATAAAATTACCGCAGTGCTGGACGTATCGATTTGTACGTTTCTTTAAGGGTACGCAAATTTCAACTTATGGTTGTTCAGTAAATTTTTTGCATGGAAATAAAGTTTTTTTTGTTAGAAACAATTATCTACAAAATTATATTGACAATCCAGAAACAAGAATCGTGTTACATCGTGTATTTTGTGAAAAAAGTGCATATAAGACCATTGAAGGCTAATCATAATCATTTAATCATTGCATCACATGGGTAATGTACACAACATCTTAAATTAATATAGAATCAAGCCGTAACCCTGCACGGCACCGCAATTTATCTTACTTATACAATAATTATAAAATTTATATTCAATTTAAAATAATTCACATGATCCTTAGTTATTTAGTTAAATCTATAAAAATAAAATTTTACATTACATAAATTGGTTTTAAATTAAAATCATAAAAGAAAATAATAGCAATAACAATAAATTTAAGGTATAATAATAAATTTAAGAGAATAATAACAATTAATGAAATGTTATTAATATTAGGCACAGAATTATGTCGAAGGTTTCTAGCGTATATGATAATATTGGTTGAGAAGCTTTGCTATTTTTTAAGCGTTAAAACGATGCGCCTTCTTAAAAAAAAACGTTTTTGTTTAAACGCTTTTTAGTTTGATGAAGCTTACAAAATCGTTTAGAGCCGTTTAAGCGCTTAAACTTTTCATTACATTAATCTTTTACAATTTGTCACTAAATTGTAGTGCTCCTTGTGAAGTAGAGCGTCCAGGGAAGTACAGCCACCTTTACTATTTCTACCGCCAAGCAGCAATGTGAGCATTATTGCGTTCCGGTTTTGAAGGGTAAGGGTGTTGGTGAAATTACAGGTACATGGGACTTGTCCACTTAGGTCTCAGGGTGACAGGAGCAGTGGCATTGCCCCCCTGGCGCTGCAACTGCTATGGACAGGCGTGTCACTTACCGCCAGGCGCACGACTTGTTCGTCTCGTCACTTGGTATCATAAAAAAACCTGTAGTTTCATTAGCACCCTTCAAAACCGGAACGCAGTGATTGCATTACTGCTTTGGTGGCAGAAATAGGTAAGGTAGCCAGGTGAAGTACTTCATGCAACGAACGAACTTTATCTCAAAAAGAGCTCTCCTACTGCTAATGAATATATCTCGTGTCACCAAGTTCAATATATATTATAATACATAGTAATAGTATATTATCAAAACAAAGTCTTGAATTTAGCACTTTTTCACTAACCTAATTCGCCTAACATAAAACTAAGATTCAAAGACATAATTGTACAATTTATTAGCGAATCCCTGTATACCAGTATCCACAACGTCATCATCGTCCAGTACAAGGTGCCACTCAGGTCGTGTAGCAGGAAATGGAACATTCCACCATTGAATAAGATTATGCCATATGCTGGTCTGTTTCATTCGTGTTTTATTATTGAGCAAATCACACAATCCGCAGATTTCTCTGTGATATCGATCTTCAACTGTGTCGTGGAAGCTGTAATACCCATGCCATTTAAAGAACTCATAATACTTCTCCTCATCATTCATGATTTCGTTCATTCTTTTCGCTAGCCTCTCTGGGCCTAACCTGCCGGCATCCAAGTATATTCCCTTGGGCATGAACCTGTAAAACAGTAACTAGATAAGAAGCGCTAAACAATTAACTTTCAACCTTCTTGAATTATAATATGTGGCAACGAGGACAGAGCCACAGAACAATAATAATAGTGTTTAGTTTGCATGGCACGTGTGCCAACAGTTCACGGAGTTCCGCAAACGTGAGCTCAGTCCACCATTTTCGCTTTGTGCGCTGCGGTCGTGTTAATTATCTCACGCAAAACCTCGAAAATCAAAGAAACTATGCCTTATTTCACTACTTTGGAGTCTAAAAGTTATAGTCGCACTTGTAATATTATCTATGGTGGTGTTTCGTATCATCATTAAATGTTATTTAATTTAATTTTAATAAATTACATGAAACGGAAGTAAACCTTATACCGCTGCTATGCTTTTTATTTGGAGAACTAAGTACACATCTCGAATTCGTCGTCGTTCAGCTATTAACCGCTAGATGGCAGCATATTGATTGAAATTCTAAAATAAAATCCTAACATCGTAACTTGCAATAAAAAGTATTGATGATAATGAACTTTCAACGATATGCCATCAGAATTTGTTATTTCTTTTTTAATTTGAAACTAATACCAATCATTATCAAGATTTCATAATGTTTCAAATTAAGAATGGGTGAGTTTTGGCAACAGCGGTTCTGATAGGGTAATCGAGGCTTAAGCCACTTCCATCGTTTTTTTCTTCTGTGAACATAATGTTTAATTAAGAATTTACCTGCTATAGTTTGCACCCCCAAGAACGACAGGCACCGTATAGTGTTCTAAGGCATGCAACAACTTTTCAGTGACGTAATCTTGCGAGTTTGAATTTTCAAAGGCCAAATAAAAATAATAATCTTGTTCTATTAAGGCAAAACATTCATCCATAGCTTCTTTCCTAGGACATTGAAGATTACCGCATTTCCCGTATACATCTACACGATGTCCATATTTAGACAATTCTTTTTGTAGAACGTGGACGTAGTCAAGACGATCAACTGTTTCACAGTTAGACGCAATCCATGCTGCTGCGATATGTTTATATCGCAATTTGTTTTCGATATGTGAACTTGTTTTATTCATTTGTGTTACCTTCATCCATTGCATATCCGTTTTTGGTCCAATTACTTTATTATTTTGGTTTTTTATAACTATATATGGAAATGGAATATCGGAATCAAGTTTATATGTCCACGTTAAATTAAAGTAGCCATTGAAAAACTCAGCGGGAACTGGATAATATCCCGCTGGTTCCAAGCCAACAAAAATATACTTCTGAAATGGAGATCGTTGAAGAGGTAAAACCATGTCTTCGTAAAGTTGAAGTAAATTGAACAATAAAGCGTCGAATTGTAATAAGTCTTTGAAATAGTTTCGATTGGACGTTATAAAGCAATTTTGGAAAGCACATTCTCTAATCACAAAAGCGTTCAGTCCTTCTTCTATGAAACTTAATGGTTCTCTGGTCGGAGGTGTCCACTCAAGAATGTAAATTAGGCCGCTTGTTTTCTCATTGCTGCCGGAAACATGAAAAATGATGAAAAAAGTTACCATGGTCAGATCTACTTTGCACATTATTATCGACTTCCCTAACCGTCTCGCCTTAAATGTTCAATACGGGTTGTGTATAGTGTTAGAAGTTATTTACAAAGAAATTAATGAGAGATATAAGATATTTTAGTTACGTGTCGCACATGTAGAAGCTGTGAGAATAATAAAAAAAACTTTTTACCTTATTAATGTGAAAATGATATCACCACCGGCATTTCATACGTAATATATAAAATATCCTTTACAGTCCATATGCATTTTTTAAAAGTATCTGTAAAATGTTTATATGCTTATTATTTAAATGTATAGCCAGTATGTAAAATAACCTATGTGTAGGTTACACATTTTTAAAATAATTTAGTTTTGTGTTGAAATAGTGCTTATGATAACGTAACCTAGTTCTACATCTGCTATGT